GATTACAACTTTGCCCCAAATTCCCTTTACTGATAATTTTTTGATGAATAATAAAACATGATTCCCTAAGTTCCCTTGAAGCTAAAAACACATTTCCAGTGAAGCCTGCCATATGTTCCTCCACAAAAGCATGATTTATTATCCCTTATCACAATATCAAGATTTTAGGGTTATTTCACATGCCAGGTTAATCCATGTTTTTTAAAGGTGACTAACATGTAGAATTCTTATTGAACTTTTGCAATCTAAGATTTTATAATATGTTATGGCACTTCAAAATGGTAGAAAATCTTTACATTGCTTGTTTTGGGGTTTATTTTAGAAATGAAAGTGTATACGGAAGTCCCAAAGAAGAAAGACCAAAGCATTAAAATATAAAAATTATAGCAAGCAACTGGGAACATCTAAGACCATAACCTGTCATATAAGCAAAATAAACTCTCAAATTACCAAACTATGGTCTAATATACAAAGGAACAATGTGTTATATCCTGTTCCACCATTCTGGATTATCTGAGATCATTTTTGTTTTGTTATTTTAAACATTTTTCATATCACACCTGATTGTTACATTTCATTGGTCCATCTGCACTTGTACAATTGTAATGTTATCAGGTAGATATAGTGATCAATCTTTCTTTTGGTAGGTCTATGATTTAGTGAAAATAATCAGCTGGCTGCTCATAGTCTGATTGTTTTACTAATGGGCACTCGTTCATCTCATTATTACATAATATGATACCTATAGCAGGTGAGTGATCAACCAATTCTGTAGTGAAGACATAGTTCATTCTTTTTTTGGTACATGATGACATTTAAGTTGCTGGTGAAAAAATTAATTAAGCATATAGCTTACTCTATTTTGATCCATATGTAAGTATCAAGTTGCTGGTGAAAGAATTAATTAAGCATATAGCTTACTCTATTTTGATCCATATGTAAAGTATATTTTGTCCATAATGAATATTCAATCAGTCCAGCTACCATTAGTTGCGTAAAATATGGCAGATTTGTAAAACAATTAATTTTGTCTTAGTTGCTATGTCAGCTTGGTTATGTTTTCTCAGTTATGACAAATCCTTTCCGTCCAATCTTTTCTATTGATAATAATCTAAAAGTTATGACAACTATTTCAGTCCAATATTTTGGAACACTGTGTGTTATTGCTCTATCTGACATTGTACACCTGAATATGATCATGCAATGATCAAATCTTTTGTCGGGCACTTTCCTCTATTTTTTTCATAAGATACCAGTAGCAGGTGAGTGATTGGTGAACTGTTTAAATAATTGCAACAATCTGCTGTTGTTTACATTTAGGTTTGTTAAAGGGCAAAAAATACCCCCAAAGTATACAAAATACAACGAGAAAATAAAACATTCAATATTTACATCAAGTAAGAAGGAAAACAAATCTGGAATATCCCATACTATGATCTACTTTGTATGGAAACAATGTGCCCCTCTCAGTAGCAGGTGAGTGATTGGTGAACTGTTTAAATAATTGCAACAATCTGTTGTTGTTTACATTTAGGTTTGTTAAAGGGCAAAAAATACCCCAAAGTATACAAAATACAACAGGAAAATAAAACATTCAATATTTACATCAAGTAAGAAGGAAAACAAATCTGGAATATCCCATACTATGATCTACTTTGTATGGAAACAATGTGCCCCTCCTCCTATCATACAGAAACCATTGTCACAATCCAAGACCATTTAGTATTCCATTAATGAAACAATACAAAATGGAAACACTTTCTGTACTGATCAAGCACATTTCAAGAGGGTTTTCATGCTTCTTATCCTAAAGCTCACCTTAACACATTGTATTCCTTTGTAATCAGATATTAGCACAGGCAAGATGATATAATATCTACAAGTTTTATTACTTCTAATTAGATGAAATATAAGCTGAGATGAAAGATCTCAAAAATCTTTCAATCTGTGTTCAGTGTGTTGACTTCAGCAAGAATTCAGAGCTATGAAGCAAACCCTCCAGTGTGAGCTTCTTGTGTTTATTCATTACAAGCAAATTACTGCAATATATTAATATTGTGGGAAATTAAAAGGGCTTGGTTAGGCACCTGTCAGTATTGACCTCATAGGCCAGGCCATGGGTACAAGGTTCTTGGGTTTAGGCCAGAATGGGCCAGTTATATTTGTTACATGCAGTGTTCATATTTAAATCAATAAAAATCTATCTATAAATGTAATAATAACTAAAAGTTGTGATTTATTGTCATGATTCTACCTTGCTTTGATATATTTTAACAATTAACTATGAAATATTACAGAAGTTTCGTTATCACTTTTCAAAAACTTATACTTATACTTATAAACCCAATATACAAGGTGTTTCATAATTTCCTAATTTGTCGGGAAATATCTCCTCGGACGGTAATAAAAAGGGCCAATGGCATACCATCCGTACCCCTTTGATGTAAAGCATGTTTAGTTGTGTCATACATGTTTTCTAGAATCAAATAGGCTCATATAGCACACGGGTTATATAGATTTATCTACTCTCAAATACACTTTTTGTAGATGATTGTTTTGAATCACCTTGTAGAAATATCGAAGGGAGAATTAGTTCAGCTAATGAATGAGTCGAGCTGTTTGATTGGATACTATACCTATTCAGCCAATTAATGTTGATAAACCATTCTGCTCAGTAAGTCCACCCATATACTAGTATGCGGAGATCCACTCTATAAGTTTATAATCTGCTTATAAAGGCCCTTTTATACGTTAAAACTTGTAGTGATTCTCTTAAAAGGGTCTTGTTTATCGTACACTACAAGGACCCATCAACTAGCGTTTAGTTTATAGTGTCCATAATTGACACTAGCAAAGGACATTGCATCCACAGTCCCTAGTTGATGATGGAGCTTGACTATATCAGGAATAGTTATGCCCCACTTGGTACAGATTATGAAAATCAATTTGAATTGATTTTAGTTCAACAAGACCCTTTAAACTATAAGTATACGTATACGTTTTTGAAACAACTTATAACGAAAATTCTCTAATAGTGTTCTACATAATGTATTTACACTTCATACATAACCCTACCTCCGCATTTGATGGTCATGGTGGCACAAGTTGAAAACCAAATGGAAATCAAAGATGCTTCCACATCTCCTAAAAGCTTGATGTGGAGGATGTTTAACTTTGATTCTGACAACCCTAAGTGAACAATTTGCATTTGTAAGGTGGCATAACCTATTTCATCGTAATGTAATTTTTTCAAATATTGTCAGATTTTAACCTTTCTTAGCTTAATTTGAGACAGACTAAAGTATTAATTCACAGAGAAATACTATATCATAAACGTATAATTGGTCTTTGTCATCAGAAAGTATTACCTCAATGCTTATTGTTAACCTTGTAAGTGGAACCTGGGGTAAGATGGCCATGTGAGGCAAGATTGTCCCACTCTATATGTTCAGTAATGTTTCAGTTACCATTGCCTTGTTCTCCTGTTAAGGCTACAATTTAGTTCAAGGGTACCAAGTACTTGCTTTAAATTCTATTTTCTGGCCACATATATCAGAATAACACATGGAATAGTTCCCTTTGAATGTATGTGTCTTATGAAGTATATAGTACACAAGTAGGGGTTTTGGATGACATAATATCATTTTATATTGAATAAAGAACTGTCCTAATATGCTAATGATAAGAGAATACCAAAAGACTTGCCATTGAACAACAATATTTATTTGTTACTATACCCTACTTTTTTTTAATTTCAGGAACAGGAACCTTGATCTCTTTTTAAACTTAAGTGCTCTTATTCCCACTTCCCAAATTGCAGAGCACTTGGTCTCATTGGTTAGTTGTATTGTTTTGTTGTTGACAATATTGGGGTCTTTATCTTTGTTTTATTTATCTTTAGTTTTCAAAGTTCCACCTTCCAAAAATTGTTAAGCCCTTAATTGTATGTTTGAATGAATGTACCTCTTGTGTGTCTGAGCGTTAACATGTGTTCCCTCTAAACAGATTGACTAAAGAAACAAATTTTTTAGGGTTGTCAAATTGGCTGACCAGTCAGGAGTGTGAGAACATTTGGCTAGTCACGGATGCCGTAACTATGAGGTCGTAAGTTCGGGATGTGTGAGCTCCCTTGTGTTTATTCATTTATAAATCACTATCTGAGTGTTCATTTTCAGAGGTGATCACCTGCTCTGGTTTATTAAGGACAGTTGAGCTAAGTGTGTTTGTGAATGTATGTATGAATATATCCTTGGTGTATCTGACCCTTAACACCAGTTTCCTCTAGTCAAATTGACTGATGAAACAACCTTTTTTGAGGTTGTCAATTTGGCTGACCTGTCTAGATCGTGAGCACACTTTGCTAGGCACTGATACCGTAACCATGAGGTCGTGAGTTTGGGACGTGTTAGTTCTCTACGTTTATTCATTCTTTTTAGGGGTTGTCAAAATGACTGACCGGTCAAGAGCATGAGAACATTTGGCTAGGCACTGATGCCGTAAGCATAAGGTTGTTAGTTTGGAATGTGTGAGCTCTCTTGCCCTCATTTATGAGTCCCTGTCTAAGGTTTCAGTTGCAGAGGTAATCACCTGCTCTTGGTTCTTAAAGACAGTTGAGCTAATTGTGTTTGTGTCTGAGAGTTAACACCTGCTCCCTCTAGTCAGATTGACTTATGAAACAACCTTTTTTTTGGTTTGTCAAGTTGACCGACCAGTCTAGAGCATGAGCACACTCGGCTAGGTGTTGCTGCCGTAACCCTGAGGTCGTTAGTTCAGGACGCGTGAGTTCCCTTGATTTTATTCATTGATAAATCACTGTCTGAGCTTTCAGTTGCAGAGGTAATCACTCGCTCTGGGCTCAGATGAGCTAATTGTGTATGTGAATGTTTGTATGAATGTTTACATCTCATCAATAGCCCACATGATGTTACATCATAAACATTTACAAAATTGCAAGTATAACCTTAATTATGTAGTCTATTGCATGAATTGCCTTTGGGACCAGTACGTCACTCTCAGTTTTTAATCTTTCCCAAATAAGATCACTAATTTGGTTTCCCTTTTTCGTTTCAGTTTCAGTCTTGTATGTATTGCATAAACTTTTGTTATACTGGTCATGTAACATTCCCCACTTAGAAGTAATGGCATTCATGTTTCCCTCTCCCGTGAGGAGTAGCATCATCGTTTTGCAACTTCTGACGAGTTTGCAATAATTAGAGGCAATTACCAACCAAATGCAAGGCTTACGTAATTCGACATCGCTCTTATATAGTTTTATGTTTGTGTATGTCATGAATTGTAATTGTCATCTCCAAAGATCTTATTCATACATGACTGCCCTTATGTTTATTTTCCATGTTAATTTGGACGATATATTAGATTTTGAATGCCAAGGTTTTCAGTGCTCTTCATACAGTTCCCTAACGGTGATATACAGGCTAATAATGCACGGAACCTGGGACCTATGAGCTAATATTCGCATTATAGCAATGAGTTTATACGTATTATCCATGGGCAATGATAGAAGTTGCCAGATGAGCATCATTTTATATATTTTGGATGATATATCTGACCATCCTTATTGTTGCTTGCAGAATTGTTTTTTGTGCACTGTCGGTGGGATTTTAGGATTTTCTCCATACTACAATGTTCATTCTCCAATCTATCGTAGTCAGTGTCTTTCAATGGGAACTGACACAGTCTGTCATAGTTGGTACAGAAAAAGTCTAGTAAAGTTACAGATTGTCCAACATTTTCCATTTCCATGTAGAGAAACATTCTTGGATTCTCAATCACATATTCTTGTCTTAAAAGTTTTGTCTGTTCATTTCCATGAACATCACTGGATGGATTGATTGAATTTTTTTTAAATTCTTTAGAACATAAAAGAGTCTTGCCATTTTTATTTTTTTTTTATTTCAGGTACATGTTCCTTGATCTCCGTTTAAACTTAAGTGCTCTTATTCGACTTTCCCAATTTGTGGAGCACTTGGTCTTTTTGGTTAGTGGTAATTTTTTGGCCATTAGCAAAACTTGGGTCTTTATCTTTGTTTTATCTTTAGTTTTCAAAGTCCCACCTTCCCAAATTTGTTGAGCATTTGGCCCTAATTTGTTTGTCTAAAGAATGTCATTTTGCTAGTTGTGTGTTTGAATGTATGTACAACTGTGAATGTACCTCTGGTCTGTCTGAGCATTAACATCTGTTCCCTCTAGTCAGATTGACTGATGAACAACCTTTTTTGAGGTTGTCAAGTTGACCGACCATGAGGTTGTGAGTTCGGGATGTGTGAATTCACTTGCATCTATTCATTCTTTATTCATTTATGAATCTCTGTCTGATATTTTAGTTGCAGATGTTATCACAATCTCTGGGCCTTAAGGACAATTGAGCTAATTGTGCGTGTAAATGTATGTATGAATTCACTTCTGGTATGTTAAGAGCGTTAACACCTATTCCCTCTAGTCAGATTGACTGATGAAACAACCTTTTTTGGAGTTGTCAGTTGCAGAGGTAATCACTTGCTCTGGGTTCCTAAAGACAGTTGAGCTAACTGTGTGTGTAAATGTATGTATGAATTCACTTATGGTATGTTAGAGCGTTAACACTATTCCCTCTAGTCAGATTGACTGATGAAACAACCTTTTTTGGAGTTGTCAAGTTGACCAACCAGTCTAGAACATGAACTAACTTAGCTAGACCCCGATGCCGTACCCATTAGGGTTCAGGTTAGAGCTTTCAGTTGCAGAGGTAATCACCTGCTCTGGGTTCCTAAAGACAGTTGAGCTAACTGTGTGTGTGAATGTATGTATGAATGCACCTCTGGTATGTCTGAGCATTAAGACCTGTTCCCTATAGTCAGATTGACTGATGAAACAACCACATAGTGTGGGGCTATATTGTCTGCCTAGGATGTCCATCTGTCTGTCTGCTTGTCTGTCTTTTTGTACATCCGACAGTTTTCTCCAAAACCGCTAAAGATATCATTTTTTTAAATTTTCAGGACTAAGTACATACAAATGCGGTAACAAAAATTTCGACTCTATACCTACTTCCTGTTGGCCATTTGATGTCAAATGCCAAAATCCTTGTCTGCAAACTTTAAGAAAAACTGCTTCACAGTTACAATTAAAACTCACTTCATTTTACATCTGATTGGGTTTTGGACATGTTGGCTCAGACATGGCAGCCATTTTGAGTGTCTTAAGAAAAGTTGGCAAGTGATTATACTTTGAATAATATTTATAAGGTTTTTTGAGTTGCCATAATCAACTATTTAGTAGTTTTAAAAATAATTCCAGGTGTCCTGTATTGTAGAAAGCCATGTCACTTATCACAGTAATTTTATACAATTATTTTGTTTAAAATTTTTTTACAAAAAGTCTGCTTTTCTATTGTTGGCCATTTTTGTGTTTTCGTAGTAAAATTTTGTCTGTAAAGTCTTGTTTACAAGTTTCAATGCTAACCAATTGAGGGATTGATTTCAAATTTTCAGGGATAATTATTTGTATGAAAATCTAGAACTGATTTGTTTGGGGCCTTCTTGGTTAATGTTTTAAGGCAGCCATTTTTTATTTTCCTTCATAAAACCTTGTCTGTGTAGTCTTCTTACAGTAATCTGTATAGTAATCTTTTCATGGATTACTTTCAAATTTCCAGGGATGATTCTAAGTCTGAAAATCTCAAACTAACTAGGCTTTGGGCATTCTGGGTGGCCATTTTGAATTTTTCCATCCTAAAATCTTGTCTGTTAGGTATTGTGTACACATTTTCAGCTGAACTATTTCACAGATCAATTTCAAATTTCAAGGCCATCTTTGATTTTCAGTCCTCAAATCTTCTCTATCAAGTCTTGTCTGCATTTTCAAACTAATCGTTTCACAGACCAATTTCGAATTTTCAGGGATTATTTTTAGAATGCAAATGAACTGATTAGGTTTTGGCCATTATTGGTCGATATTAAGGTGGCAGTTTTGGATTTGTTGTCCTTAAATCTTCTCTGTAAAGTCTTATCTACATGTATCTGGGGAACCGTTTGGCAGATTAATTTCAAATTTTCAGCTTGGTAAATGTTTTGCTAATAGGGCTAATGAGGCAGACCCATACAAGGCACTGCAGTAGTCAAAATTTGATGCTACGTAGGAGCTATACATTGTTTCAAGGTGTTTGGATCTTACACTATTTGACAGATACTTGAGTGGATTAAGCAGTTTTTGAACTTTCCGTGAAAGATAGTTTATATGGTCTTCATAAGTCAAATTTTCATCAAGGATAAATCCAAGATGTTTGTGTGAAGTTTTACATGGAATGACTTCCCGTCAAAATAAAGTGGCGTTTTTTGGAAGTTTTTGATCCGGTTTGAGTGGAATATGACTTGGGCACTTTTGGAAGGTTTGAATTTAAGGAACCATTTCTTTGACCACAGATTAATTTTATTAAGATCATTTTGAATCTGATCTGTTTGAGCATTTGATGGATGAAAAAATGAATAAAGAGATGTATCATCAGCATATATGTTTGCTTCAGAGTCTAAGTTGTCTGGGAGGTCATTTTTATAGATGAGGAACATGAGGAGGCCTATTGCTGAGCCTTGAGGAACACCAGAGTTTATGAAGTTATTGTCTGAGAATTTAGAATGTTGGACATTGATTGATACACAAACTTTTTTTTCCTCAGGTAAGAATCACAAAGATCAATTGTCTTGCTGTTAATTCCATAAGATTTCATTTTGTGTATTAAGAGCGAATGCGGGACTGTATCAAACGCAGCCGAAATGTCAAGATATACCGAGTTAATACAGTTTCCTTGTATTTGATGATAAATATATTCAGTAATTGCTAAAAGTTAAAGTTCTGTGTTGTGGCCAGGGAGAAAACCTGACTGAAACTTGTATAACAGGTCATTTTCCATAAGGTGTTTCATGATTCTAGCATTGAGTACCTTTTCAAAAATTTTGGAGAAAGTACTTAATAATGTTATCGGCCTATAGTTTTCAACGAATGACCGGTCAGATTTCTTATGAATTGCAGAAATATTTCCCAACTTCCAACAGTCAGGAAATTCTGATTTTTGGAAAATGAAGTTAAAAAGCGAAGAAAGTTTATGATGAACTAGGGTTAGCCTTCTGGAACAATGAGTAGTTCACAGACTCATTGCCAACTAGCAATATCAATCACCACTGTTATAGATATGCTAATGTTCCTTCAAGATCCTTGTGAATGGGTTTGCCTCCCAGGGCAGTTCCCACCAGGAAGACTGCAAGCTTTGTCACGTCCAAGAGACTGTATGTTTTTATTTATTTCATCAGGTGTTGTCGTAATATTGTCAATGTCTTGATTGCACCGTTTTGGAAAATTAGGAAAGACCATATCCCCATGAAGCTCATCATGGTGATATTTGCCAAAGAAAAGGTTGGCTTTTTCAGTGTCAGTTCTAATTTTCAGCTTGGTAAATGTTAAGGTGGCCATTTTGGTTTTCCATCCAATGTCTTATGTATGCACTTCCAGGGAAACCATTTGATTTCAAATTTTCTGGGATTATTATTGTATGAAAATTTCAAACTGATTAGTCTTTTGGCATTCTGGGTAAATGTTAAGACGGCTATTTTAGCATTTTTGTCCCACATTTTTGTCTAACTGATAAGTATCAGGCATTCAAGATGAAAAACCATTAAAAACCATTGGTGGGGACATGTTGACACGTTTGTGTCCTTGTTTTCATTCCCAAGACACTGTAGAGACTAGAGAAACCATTTTGGATATTTGATTACAATGTCTTGTCTGAAAAGTCTTGTCTGTGCATTTCCATAGAAATCACTAGATGGATTGGAATTTTCAGTAATATTTTCAAGGTGTATTGAGCTGTTTATATTTAAACATGCTTGGTCAATTTTAAGGTAGTCTTCCTAGATTATCTGTTGCTAAATCTTGTCTGAAAAGTATACTTTGTTCATTTCAAGGCAAACCACTGGAATTATAGATTTGAAATTTTGAAGTTTTTTTTTATTGAAATCTATAACCAAATGGCCAACTTGTCTGAACAGTTTTGTTGGCACACCACTCCACTGATTGATTTGAAAGTTTGAGTAATGTTTATTTGAATTGCATAAATGATTAGTGTGAGACATACTGGAATATCATTGCAAAAGTTTGTCTCCTAAATGCAGTCAAAACAAATCCACGGCTATAAAAATCTTTCTTGGTTTTGAAGCTTTCTTTGTCTCCATGACAAAGGTCAGGAAGTTTGGCTCATTGCTTATACTTCCTTTTCCTTTTTTGACAATTCAGTTTGCTGACTCCTGATCTCTGTAAGTAAGCTTCCTTCCTCTTACTCCTTCCTAGTCATCTCTCTTGCAGCTTCATTTTTACACTATTTCACTCTGCACTCCTGTGCCTAACTTCTTTCTGCTCTGATTCCCCTTTTCTTATTCTTAGACTTGTCTCATTCCAGTTGTTAATCAAAATACTTCCTAGGAATGATGTAATAAATTGGCAATGAACTCACAATTTTTTCACTTGGCACCTTTTGAGATGGATCCTGGCTATGGCATTAATGGTTGAGAAATAGGGATCGAAACCAGCCATAGTTTTCTCCTGATGACCATTGTGAATTGTTGTGTTTTATGGATTATGATGACGGCTTTGCGAATGGATGTTGACCCTTTGAATTGCCTATGGACTTCAAGACTGGATTTTATATATCCCACATCATTTGAGACTGAATACTCTATCTTTCATGAGTACTAGTACCTACAACTATTTTTGATGTTACGAGTATTGGCTATCATTTTTTTCAATTTTTCTTCAACATGTATTGTAATGACTTCAGTATGAATAAAATGTCCCTTGGTGTTCTGGTCCTGGATTGTGATACTGCTTCTTGATTGGAGGGGGAGGGGGAT